CTAAACATTTCGCATTGCCTGTGCACGAAACGATGCCAATTTGATCCTGGCATGCTCGTAAAAGCCTCGCACGACTATGATGGGAGTGTGGGTGATAAAGAGATCTGCGAAGTGGCCGATAGTGACTCTAAGGAGAACATTCACCTCTATACCGAAACAAGGATTCAAAGCTAGAGGACTATCGAGTAACTCAGGGATACCAGGGATTTCGAGGGCCTAGGATAAGGAGAATCGGAAGGCGAAGGAGCATGGATAACAACGAGGGTGGAATCAGCATCATGAATCACTTGTCTGGTGGTACTACTTAGTTCCGGTTGTGAATCCTATTGCACAATCTGAACCTTGGAGCAACAAAGCTTTTTCAACAACCTAATGCGAGATTTTTAGAAGAGATCGTAGCTAACCATAAGAAGAGGGTGCATTATTGATCAGTTTGTCCTGGGGGAAAGTAGGGTTAGAGCTAATGTGTTGGTTTGGTTAATTTTTGTCGCCTGAACCTCCTAATCCGCAGGCCTAAAAGTTTGCACAGAAGAGAGAAAACACAACGTTCTGTAGAGCAGATAATCCTTTTCGAAACGGATGATTGATGATGTAGAAACTAGGATCTTGTGAGATTTCTTTGCTGTATCAGTAAATACGGGCATCGTCTAGGGCTAAGCCTAGCGAGGGGACAGAAATTTTTGGGAGGGGAAATGAAATTGCGTCACCGCAACACTGAAACCGTGACCTCTCTCCTCCCTTGCCTAAGACTTAATCTCCGTAATCAATAGGAGGGGATCAAATGGCGTGTTTTTGAGCGTTGCACTACATGACCCATCTTGCGCATAGCGCCGAGATTCTGGAAAGAAACAACGAAACTACTTATGGCACAAGCTAAATTACTGATGAATTCTGACACCCTTCTCATCCATCTTGAGCAAACCTGAGAGCAGAAACTTCGAAATTTAGCGGCCTATAATAGCACTGTTTTTTTTTTCCTTTGTATCAATTTTCCAGTCATCTATTCTCATCTAGCCCGCAATCAGGATCAACTAATTACATGGCGAAACACTTGTTAAATACAAATGACCGCTCTTCCTTAGATCCGTGTGCTAAGAGAACTGAAAGCCTACCATAGAATTTATTGCATTCCATCTATATTAAGATTCTCCTCTAACTTCACAGGTCTGTGGTTTCACTGTACTTTTTCAGTAGTTATTTCTAGTCAATTAGGTACGATGTATTGTTATGCTCCTTTTGCAATTCTCAACATCTCAAATATCTACCAAGCTCACTTCGAGACCACTGTTGATGTCCTCATTTTTAAGAATTTTTACTATATATAAAATGATGATATTTGTTGGTTTGTCTGTTTGTCACAAAATTCGGCATTTGCTGGGGCCGTGTGCTGAATGTTGGGTAGGGGACGGGGATGGGTAAATGTTGGGGAGGTTCGTCGCAGGACAAAGTTGCACCTTTGCCGCACCTTTGATTTTGCAGCTTTGTTTTCATCCCTTTTACTGTTTCTGATTGTATATAATTGCACGTAAATAACCTTTCTTCAACAAGTACACAAAGAGTAAGAATGATGTGAAACAAAGCTGCAATCCAAGGTACAATCTAAATGGGGGTTACTATACCCAACATGCAGCATACGCCCGCTGAATCACTACCTGCAAAAATAGGGCCAGACCTTAACAGTATGGTGCGGCATGGACCAGATCTTTTAGCAAGCCACACGTAGGGCCGGCCGTACCCATTTGATATGCAGTCTACGCGGCGCTATGGGACGATGGAGCCCATGTGGTCTGCCCTTTTAGTAATCACATGCCATTTCATGATGGAAAAGAACATTTTTTTAACATTCCTTTTTAACCTTAACCCCATGTCCCCACTTATTGAGTTTTGTCTTTCTGGCGCTCAACTACTGGCACTTTTATTGATACCCGTGCCACCTCTCAGTTCTGGTAGCAGTGGACTTCCTCTGTAAGCATACTGAGTCCTAACCTCCTTGAAGTGGGCTGTCTTCTACTCGTCTCACTACGCTATTCTCGCCTCACTCACTCCCATTCCAACATCGATATCCATAAGATGTGCTTCAACAAACAACTAAATTCTTCCTATTCCACTGGGTTTATTATGCTGGGTTGTGAACAAAACTTTCGCCCTAGGCAGGACTAGAAACCGCACCTCTCGGTTTCCATCACCAGTTTCTTCTAAGAGTGAGATTAAACCATCGGTCATTGCCTTTTCGTGGATCGCAGCCACGCACAACCTGTGGCCATTGATACTCATTACTGATACCATCTAGGCGCGATTTTTCACAGTGGAAGTTCCGCGCGTCGACCATCGTCTGAATGGGCGTTTATATCCTCCCAAAATCGAATGCCCGTTCCGAAGACATGGGAACTTTGAATGAGGAATGACACTGAGACCAAATAAAGCTCCGGTATTTCCTTCACTCTGAAATTAGCCCATGTTTCAGCATCTTACGACTATAAGCGCTTCGTCCTGTCGTTCTGTATGTCTGTCACGAAATTCCCTAGCTCCTGGGGATTCACCTGGAGAGACCGGGGCAAGTGTTGGGTGGCCCAGGTCTCGAGAAGTATAAAACACACATCAGCTAAGCGGAGCCCCGCCCACAGTGGGCGTGGCGTGCGTCGAAATGAAGTGTACTGACGACCGAGATTTTCAATTCTCTTAGAAAACAGCCTCGAAACTGGGAAGAAAAGTAGGGTAAGGTGTGTATTGGTAAGTCTGATCGAATCAGAGAGAGCCACCCCCGGTGAGGCGGGCGTTCTCCAAAAAAGCAGTGCTTAACAAAAGATTGATAACTTGGTTGGGAAAAGGCCTACAGAGCAGAAAACAAATTGGTGTAGGGGAGCAACGTCTAAGGTGTTTTCAGCATACATGACGTGGGCGGGGCCCGCCCATAGTGGGCGGGGCGTGCGCTGAAGAGTACAGCGTTTTCTACAAGTCCACATAATTCGGGCCGGGGAAGTCTAGATGAGCCGGAAAAAGGTGGATGGAGGTGGGTGGAGGAGTGGAAGCCCACTGTCATCGGTGGGCGGGGCATGAACCAAGGTGGGGGGGGTTTTGCGACGAAAATCATAACTCGGCTCCAAGAAGTCCCGGAGGGGAAAAAGGTGGATGGAGGTGGGTGGAGGAGTGGAGGCCAGCTGTCATCGGTGGGCGGGGCTTGACCAAAGTGGGCGGAGTTTGCGACGAAAATTCATAACTCGGCTCCAAGAAGTCCCGGAGGCCGGGAAAAAGGTGGATAGAGGTGGGTGGAGGAGTGGAGGCCAGCTGTCATCGGTGGGCGGGGCATTGACCAAAGTGGGCGGAGTTTGCGACGAAAATTCATAACTCGGCTCCAAGAAGTCCGGATGGGAAAAGGTGGATAGAGGTGGTGAAGAGCGGAACCCATCTTCATCGGTGGGCGGGGCATGACCAAAGTGGGCTTTGTGACGGAATCCTTAACTCGGCTCCAAGAAAGTACCAGGAGATCGGGAAAAAATGGTGATGGAGAGTTGGGTGGGGAGTGAACGTCCCCCTGTCAATCGTGGGCTGGGAAGAAAAGTGGGCGGAAGTTTGTGAGGAAAAAACGGATAAAAAAGGTGTATGGAGGTAGGTGGAGCAGTGGGGACAAACGGGGAAGTTACCAGAAAGCTTCTTAAGTAGAGCTCTAAAAGGTCATGGAAACCGGGGAAAAGCGAATAGAGAGTCGGTCAAGGGAAGGAGGTCGATTGCCTTGGCAGGCAAGATTTGCCATCAAAGTGGGCGGAGTTTGCCAGAACTTCGTACTCTGTCAGACCTACAACTCGGTCGGTAAGAAGTCCCGGAAACTGGAGAAAGTGGTAGAGGTCTGCTGGATCAAGGGTACTGCTGCAAGTCCGGGAGTTTTCGACGGAAGTACATAACTCGGTTCTAAGAAGTCCCGGAGACCGGGAAAATAGTGGAAAGAGGTGGGTGGAGGAGTGGAGGTCAACTGTCTTGGTAGGCGGAGCATGACTAAAGTGAGCGGAGCTCGGCTGCAAAACTAAAAGTCGGTTCAGAGATAGTCCGGAAACCGAAAAAGGTGGATAGAAGCCAGCGAAGGGAGAGAATTCAATCTTCATCGGTGAGCGGGGTATGACCTAAGTGGGCTGGGTTTGTTGCCAGACCTATAAAGTGGTTTCACGAAGCTCTAGGAACTGGGAATAAAATGGATGGAGGCCGCAAAGGGAGGGAAGTCAATTTTTATCTATAGATGCACTAAAGTGGCCGCGTTGGCCGCCAAGCATATAGATTGCTCAGGGTCAGTTCAGAGACCGGGGAAAACGGAAGCTATTAGCAAGGAAGAAAAAGATGGGTGAGACATGCACCGAAATAGGCTGAGTTCATGACGAGATTTATAAATCGGTCTAGAGGCAGTCCGGAGACCGGGAAAAAGCGGATAATAGTTGCGAAGAAGGAGAGGTTAAGAGCTATTAATTATGGAGCGGATAGAACCTAGCTCAGAAGTCAAATATTCGTAGTGTTGTCGGGCCAAATTGAGAATTTACGCCGCAGAACTGTGTTTCGCGCGCAACGCGTGCTGCGCCAACTGATATAAACGGAAAGGACCAACCATAAGCGTCGTCTGTTCTGAAGAAAGACCAAGCACAATAACTTTATTATAACAAGCCCACTCCTCAGAAAGATATCAAATTAGTCAGATCAATTCCTAAGATTAGAAGGTAGCTCAAAGTCATCAGAAGGACAGTCAGGCATCTGCTTAAAAAACGTAGAACTACAGGATACATTCATTAGCTACTGTCACGATGCAAAATAAGATTCTGAGCACACGAGAACAAACCTCACCAGAATTCTGACTATTACTAAAGGCAATGAACACGATGGCAACCAGCACAATGCTCAGCTTCCCAGCCATCAAGTTCACTGCCTTCAACTTCTTACCAAAACTTACCACAGAAGGTCCAACTAATAGGAAACTACAAAAATCCTACACTAAGAAAATATGCATAAACCCTTGTCTAAATTTAGTCCATGTTGCGAATGCGAGCACAAACATCTGCCGTGAACGACGAGCACGTACCACTACCTGGAAAAAATGGATATTAAGTGGAGCAGATATTTGACCAAATTGGCCTTGAAGATTTCCACTTGCAATGCCTTATTGTTAGGGAGCATTGTTGATGCGTGTGATTTGATCTTGAAATACATAGAAAGAAATACAGATTTTTGCGATTTTTTTTTGAAAAACGGTGTCTCAAAAACATACAACAAAAATCACAGTTAGAACCTTGCAGCATTCCCTCTCTTTTCGGTGGTTTCACTAATCTGCTTTGGCGTACTCAGAACGAATCGGGAGCACGGTCAAGCGTGCGTTGAGGAATCCTCGACAGGTGGACGGGGGGGGTATGTGGCCCGCTGGGAGGAAGGGATCGGGCCATTTCGATGCAGTAGGATCATCACTGTCGGAGGACAAACATCAAGGATGTGATCGATGCTGTGCAAGCTTCCCAGAGGATTTCCAATAACAATGTTATTCCGCTCACATAAAATTTTCGTGCTTCGAAGGGGTCCGCATAGTAATTCTTAGCTACCTCAGTGATTTATTACGACAAGGTTAGAAGAATCCGAAATTCGCACGTTTTCCAACGGATATTTTATCTTTCAAATGAGTCCAACAATACGAAGGGATGTGAAGCACACGCGCGTTCAAAGTGGCCCAGTAAGTTGCTCGCGCTTCAGCTACGGCTTTCGTAATAACTTCGTAATTCAGCAAAATTAGGAGGATACTGAAAGGGTGTGTGTGTGTGAAATTACAGAATGCGTCTAGCCACTCTTTGACAAAAGATCCCTAGGGCTACATGTGCGTGCATGGTACATATGTCGTAGTGTAGTAAACATCTTCTCCTTTAAATGTCCCTTTTCACAGGGCTGTAGGGTTAGCGCTAAGGTGGAGCACAGTAATCAACAGGGCCATGTCTGCGACATCAACGTGCGCAATTCCCGTCTCCGCCTGGCACGTAGCACGCCCCTTACATATGGTAGTGGGCGCCTAGAATCAATGCCCTTATGGCTTTTTCAAAACGCTGCCCCCCCCCCTCCCTTTAAATTCCACTCCTATTGCGGACAGATGAGATTCTGACCTACGACAGACCTGTCGCGGCATCTCATGAAATGCTGCGTTAGTGAAGTCGATATTCTGTGACCCGTAGCTGACACTTTTTATTGCGCGTGATTGCATTTTCCGCCTGGCATTGGCCGATTGAAGAAACATTCGAGGAAGGGAGGCAGTAGCAATTCAACCTATCAGTTAACATTGGGCGACAATGTCGCCCGATGCCGGGCGACACCCCTTGAATTTTATTCCTTTGCGCATATTCCAAATTTTGCGGTGCTATATTAACCCGGAATACGTTGTCAAACTTGTAATGGCCACGTTCTTTGAACATCTTTCACAGTGAAAGTTTTAGAGAAGGGTTGCTTGGAATTGCTTCTTCAGTGATAAGGTTGTTCTTTCTTGATGTAGAAAGCTGCTTTTTGTATGCTATTAGCTAGCTCAATGATACAACAATTGGCAAAAAGAGATTTGTGTTCAACCTCATTTGTGGATTCTACAGTGGAAAATTGGATTTTCCGAGAGCGTTCCGAAGTTTCACCTTTGCGGGACGGGGAGATTTTTGCTTGGTTTGCAGCCATTAAGCATTTGTACGAGACAAATGATGTTTCAGCAGTTTCCGCATAGTGTTCTCATTGATTTGGTATGTACACCGTATGGAAGCGTTTCAGCATTAGCACGCAATTTTCGGGAAAACCCAAAAACTGCTTGGTCGCCCAATGTTATCTTAAAAAGAAACACAAGACAGAAGAATGAAGTGATGCTTTGCTTCTGAGACGCCATACTAGAGATGCACTTGAACTATATAACACTGCTTCCATAAGGTATCGCTGCGTAAAATTTGAAAGCGAAAATCACTCATTTTTAGAGAGATCAAAGAAAAATGAATTGAGCCTATACTTTTGGACACGCGTGCTATATTTTGCCATCATACCATGGTTTATGCGTACGACACTGACAGACTGGCCTTCGGCCGTCCGAGCAAACAAGGCTCATGTTTTGGGCCGTTGCACCTGCCCCCTCAATATTTTATATAGTATACATTCACGCCGTTATCAACTTTTTATTTTAATAATATACAGGGGGGGGGCAAAAAAAAAGACATTTTGCCTATGTCGGACTTCGGCTCTTTTTTCTTCGCAGAGATTGCTGTCGTTGACGGGAGTTCCTCAGCAGAGTATTCCCTAAGTGTTCCCTCTATTAGTGTACGCAGGCTCTCCTTCACTGCCCTCACCGTCTTCAGAATATGACGTCATCTGTCACCGTCGTCAGGCTCAAGGAGGTCTACCGTAAGAGCTTCAGCCTGAAGCTCTTACGCAATTTCGTGAATCGATTTAATGTTGGATAGTTTTCTAGAGGCATTAGCTACCACTGTGCAAATCCCCTCGGAACTAGCTTTCCAGTAAGGGTCGTTATGGTACACGATCCTTCGAAGACCCCATTGAGATCGACCAGTGCACCATGTTTCCAGGGCTAATTCTTCTGATGCCGTCCACGTACGTGGCCACTATGAAGATTTTCTTATAGAATGGAATGCACTCTTTAATAATAAGTTGGAACCGTTCGGTCTGAGTTGAGTAAAATGTGCTTAAATCCATCTGGAAGTGGAGGCAAAATGTCTTTTTTTTTGGCCCCCCCCCCCTGTATATAATTCAGATATCCTAAGTCTATACAAAAAGTAACAGAAAACGAATAGCAAATCAGTATGGCATAATGGAAATTCCCACATCGACAAAACTGCTCCTAACTTTTCTCTTTTCACCAATTCATTCCGAAAAAATCAGCGATATAATGGAAAGTTGCGAGCCTTTCAGCTGCGAAAAGCAATAGGCCGAAATGGGCAAAAGATTATATAGCTAAGCCCCAATTTTCTAAGTAACCATGCAAAATCGATGGTGAACAAGAAAAACTACGCTGTACGCCAACTGCTCGCTCGTAAGTCCGATGTCAGACTTTGCGGATCGCTAGCGAATCGCTGGATACGAGCACTGCCGCCAAGCCGAATGCGACTACTGTACCAAAGGATCGAACTTATGTGCCAGCGGATAAAACGCAGCGTGCCCAGGACTGGACACTGTTTAAAGTGACGGGACTTCCTTTGAATATTGGGTAAGGAAAACCATTCACTCGGGTGCTGGGTGCATTAAACCATACGTCTTCCATCTGCACGTATTACATCAATGAATGAAAAAGTAGCAACGCAAGTTACCTCCTAGATCTCCTGTTTTTGCTGATCCGTCGGCAATTGAATCAAACACTGCACGCTCAATTTTCTGGGCATACGAGTTCATGTTCATGTATCTTAGCATCATAACAGCTGATAATAACAGAGCCGTTGGGTTAGCTTTATCTTGGCCGGCAATATCTGGTGCAGTACCGTGAACCGATCTGAAATTTCAAATAGAAGCAAATAGTAACTTTATGTCATTGGACCTATTACCAATATGAGGCACCATGCATGCAGGTGAACAATCTTACTGATCTACAACTTTCTCTGATATGCTCTCAGCGACAAACAATGTTAGCATCATCTAGCACATAACAAAGTTACCTCATAATTTCGTTTGTAATCATAGTGTGGATAGTTAGCTAATTGGGATTTCATAATCTTTTCAACTTCAATATGCATAGAGGTCGCAAAACTCTGCACA